TAAATCTGCTGTACCCGTCTTCGTAAATCCGCGAGTTAAACCCGTATATCTTTGGCATCGATCGCGAGTCCCCCTACCTGCTGCTCAGCCGCACCAAACCAACCGAACAACCAACCTATCAACCAATTAACCGACCAAATGACCGACCAACCCAACCAGCCGCACCAAACCAACCTATCAACCAGCCAGCTATCAAACCAATCAACCGACCAAATGACCGACCAACCCAACCAGTCGCACCAAACCAACCGAGTGACCTTGTATGTACCTAATTTTTCCTGACTTGTAGACAAGCTTGATGGCAGCAACCAATTTTGATTCACCCATGTTAACGAAGTGTCCATAACGATTATTACGGCCCTCGAAACACACCGGCATCAGGGACATCTTGGTCCAATCTCCAACTCTACCTCCGGCAGCTAAAACAAAACAACGTTGTTAATTATCAGATATTTCGTAGTAAAGTAGCTCTTCTCTAGCAGCTAAAAAAATACCCGACCCCGTGGTTAATTATTAGAGATTTCGTAGGAAAGTATAGCTCTTGTCTAGCAGAAAACACAACCGACACTGTGGTCAATCAGAGATCTCGTAGGAAAGTAGCTCTTCTAACGACACAACCAAATTTAGAAAATTTGTATTTCAGTGAAGTCGATTTAAAAGATAACAAAACTAAAATGTAAAATATGAAAAATTTAAACCAATTATTCTTGTGAATATTATCTTTTTCGATACAAGTGGGATATTATATCTTTATCAGAAAAGAATGACTTACCATTATTAGCGTTCAGACTTGGAACAAAAAATAGCAGAACACCCAACAGATAGATCCAAGACGTGTTCATTTTGAGCGAAGTCACTTTTAGCGTCGTCTCTGGCTGCGTATTTTAGTTGAATGTTCCTTAGCTAATATCTAGATGGGCAATACATTTGATAATCGGTATATTCAGGGGGGTGTCGGCCGGTAGAACAAGATGTTGTGTGCAGGGATAGGTTTAGGGGAGTGTCATTTCTGGAACAAATCTTCGCCTGTCCCAGCCAATAATCAATTGCCTGAACCAAAATTTAACATTGAACATTGGTAGGCAGTAGAAAAAGGAAAAAAGCAAAAAAACAAAAAACAAAAAAAAAACAAAAAAAAAAAAAACCAATAGCAACAACAACAAAAAAGAAAAAATACTAGTTTCTATTTCTGTTTCTCTTTGTCAGCAATCTCTTTTTCGTGCGTTTTAAAACATCAATTTTTTCTGAACATCCTTTCTGTCATATTTTATATTCTTTATTCTCCAATTTTGCTGCAATACGTTTTGGTGCTCTACAGCTTTATCGCTCGCTTTCTATTCCTACTACTTACCGCTCTCGGCAGGAAAAAAACTGCATCGCCTCCCAGAAACATCGAATCAGCTACAATATTTAGTTTGTTTTGAACAATATTTAATAAAGTATGTAGATGAAGCAAACAAACCGCACATTAATTAACGGACAATTTGGAAAAAGTTAATTCACACTAGTCGAAAATGATACTAAGACTAATTACTATTTGCATTGTATTATTCATTATGATTAATATTGACACAGATAAATGATAATGATAATTGTTTTTGTCACCTTAGAGGGTTTTAATACGTTATGAATTTAATTTCGTCACTTAAGTATAGTTAACTAGTTGAGCACCTAGTTTCTGCATTTGTTTGCGTTTTTAAGTGTTTTTATTTCCTATGGAAACTGCAGGCATTTGCAGATCAATTGTCTGCCACAGAGAAGTCATCAGGAATAAAAGAAGGGAGGAAAGAACGGAGAAGAACGAACGAACGAACGAACGAACGAACGAATGAACGAACGAACGAACGAACGAA